ATTTATTATTTACAAACAAACGATAGACCACCTTTTGCCTTAGGAAATTTAACGCAAGCCATTCCGACATTTTGATTTTAAAAAAAATAAACCGTCGACAAATTTATTTTTTTATTAATTAATAAATAAATTTATTTATTCAAAAAAAAATTATTTTAAATTTAATAACAATAATAATAATAATTAATTTTTTTATAATTATTTTTCCTTCTATCTCTCTCGTGTGCGCCCAAAAATAATAAATTTTTAATTATAAAATCAACTTAGTAAAGATTATTAATTATTTATTTATTTATTATTGTAATTATTAATAATAATAATTTATTTATTAATGTCGTTAATTAATAATCGAATTCAAAGGTCGTTAATACATGGATCAACTAATGGATTTTTTTTTTTTATTCGATAAAATTTTTTATTATTAACTTATTGTTGGGATGTCAACAACGACAACAACAACAAACAAAAGTTTGTATTGCATAATTGCCCTGCCTCAAAGGTTCAAAAGAACAAAAACCTTGACAAAAAAAAAAAAAAAAAAAAGAATTTTTGTAAATTAAATGAATTTCGTAATAATAATAATAATAATAATAATAATAATAATAATAATAATAATGATAAAAATAAAATTTTGCAACGATTATCAATTAAGTTAATAATTTTGTGTACATTTAAACAAATTTTTTTTTTTTTAAACTTAAACCTTCGTAATTATTTTTTTTTTTTTAAATATATATTTTATTACGTAATAAAAATTATTTTATCAATTATTATCAGATCGTTAAGAAGCAAAAAAAATTACGGAAGTAATAAAAATATTTATTAAATGTATTTTTCCGTAGGAAGTACAAAAAAAAAAAATTTTTTTTGTACTTGCAAATCGTTTATTTATTCAAAGGATAATGTTCAAAGGTAAAAAAAATTAAACAAAGGTAATTAATAAATAAATAAATAAATTTTAATTACTTTACATTTTTTAAAAAAATAATTAAGTAATTAATAATCAATCGAATAAGAAAAAAAAAAAAATAATAATAATTATTTCGTCACGAGTAAGAAGAGAGTCGATCATAAAGTTAAGCACGCGTAAAAAAAAAAAAAAAAATTATTAATTATTAACCGGAAATTAATTACACGGTCATCTGACCGTCAACGAATTTTTCTTAAAAAAAAAAAAAATTATTCAACCCTTAAATACGATAATAATAATATTTAAATCGAGTAAAAAAGGGAAACGAAAAAAAAACGAAAAAAAAATTTTTTTCCTATTTTTTCTAATTTTTTTTTTTTCGTAAAATAAACTAATTTAAAATCATAACATTATTTTACAACAACTTTCTAGAATTTATTATTATCATTATTATTATTATCATTATTATTTACTGGGAGTTTCCGTTGTGTAATTTTGGTTTTTTTTTTGCTTGCATTTCGTGCCACATTTTTTTGTTGTTTTTATCAAAAAAAAAAAAACTTTCTTCGTATATAACAAATCGAGATTATTTTTATTATTATTATTATCATCTGGAAAATTATTACCGTAATTTTTTTTTTGTTTCTCATTCGATTGTTTAAT